CTGATTCATGAAGACCATGCCAACACCGTAAGTGCCCGTTTTGGACACCACGGCCACCTCTGGGACTCTGGGAATCACAGAGGTTCTTGGGAGTCAGGTTTCAGGGTTTGGGGGTTGTCGTTCAGGATGTGTTTTTGGGGTTTGGGGCCAGTTTTAAGGCTCCTGTTCGGGAAGCCCTAAACCCCTAAACCCCCACACCCTAAAGCCTAAACCCTAAACTCGGGATGTAGGGTTTAGGGGCTGACCTGGGGTTTGGAGAGCAACCCGTAAGCTCCGATAGAGCCTACTTCGAGGATGAAGCCGGACCAGCGGTAGCTGGTACTTTCGTTAGGGTTTAGGGTTTAGGGTTTAATCAGAATGAGGGTTTAGGGCCTAGGGCTAAGCTAGGGGTCTAGGGAATTAGGACAAGCGATTTGGTGTCCATGGTGCTATGACTGCTATGGTTTGTCGGGATTCCGAAGAATCCCCAAAAACTCAATGGGCCTAAACCCGACTTTGTAATAGCTTAGACTTAGACCCTAAGCCCTAAACCCTGAATGCCTTCAATCCCGAAGCGTTCTAACCAGAGGTGCGTTTCGGCCCTACGAAAACAAACATGAAAACTATGTCGTAGAGCCCGACACCGCATGAGCCCCTGTAACCCTAAACCCTAAACCCCACACCCTAAACCCTGAACCCTGAACCCAAACCGAAACCCTGAACCCTAAACCGTAAACCGAACCCTAAACCCTGAACCCGAAACCCTAAAACCTAAACCCTGAACCCTATACCATAAACCCTAAACCCTAAACCCTATACCCTAAACCCTAAACCGAATCCTGCGCCCTCTGCCCTGCCTGGACGCCATTACGACGAAGCTGCTTCACTACGCCAGGCAGCCATTGGCCTGACGCAAAGCCGAAGTAACGGCAATGTAGCTTCTGGGGTTTGGGGTTTAGGGTCTAGGGCATAGTATAGGATTTAGGGTTTTGGGTTTAAGGTATTCGTATAGGGTTTAGGGTTTAGGGTATAGTATAGGGTTTTCCGGTTTAGGGTATAGTGCATTGATATGGGGACGATCGGGGGGTGCTATTACTAGTTCAACTTTTCAGGCCCCTACATAACTATCCATCGGGCCCAACCTCAAAGCTGCGACTCCCTAAGCCGAGATCTGATAACGTGTCAAGCAGAAGAGTTGTAGGGTTTAGGGTGTAGGGTTTGGGTTTAGGGTTTAGGGTTTAGGGTTTGGGTTTCGGGTTTAGGGCTTAGGGTTTAGGGTTCAGGGTTTAGGTTTAGGGTTCCAGGAACTCAGAACTTAAACCTGAACATCGAAACCCTGTTATGCCCTAACTTCGGAAATTGGAACGCCCAAGTTAGGATCTCGGTGCTCAGGTTCTAAAAACAACACATCAAGGCTTAAGGCCTTAGGGTGTCGTGTCTGGGGGGCTTAGGGTTTAGGGCTCGCAGTCTGAACCTCTTGAACCCAAACCATGAACTGTCAGCACCCAGGTTTAGGGTTTAGGGTTTAGGGTTTAGCTTTTAGGGTTTAGGGTTTAGCGTTTAGGGTTTAGGATTTAGCGTTTAGGGTTTAGCGCTCAAGGTTTATAATAAGGGTTTAGGGTTATCATAAGTCATGCATGTTGCACACTGAATCGATAGGGGTTTGCGTGGCCTCGGATTGTGGCACATTAGGTCTCCTATCCTAGAAGCACCTATAGAACTTAAAACCCCGGCAGCCTGTCAAACTCTCCACAGAGCACTAGACGATAATCCCAAACCCTATATGTCTAAGCGGCCCACAACAGATAAAACCCAAAACCTGCAACAGTTCAAGCGACTAAACCGTCCGTCTCAGCCCTGAAACCCAGAATCCGTAACCCTCAAACCCCGAAGCCCCGAAAACACTCAATCCGAATCACGAAAAAAGGGCTGCTTTGCTCCATATCGAACCCTCATTGTAGAAATCCTTTGAGAGAACCCGCTAAACCCTAAACCCTAAACCCATAAACCCCTTAACACCAAACCCTAAACCCCTAACCCCTAACCCCTAAACCCTAAACCCCTAAACCCCTAAACCCCTAAACCCCTAAACCCCTAAACAGTAAACGCTTGTCGGAACCTTTCCGCGCCTTTGAGCGACTTGAAGGGTCGGAGGTCTTCTACTAGACCCCCAGGCTGGGTCGGCGCCCTGGCGACAGGGTTTAGGGCTTAGGGTTTGGGTTTAGGGTTTAGGGCTTTGGGTTTGGGTTTGGGTTTTACGGTTTAGGGCTTAAGGTTGGGGTTGAAGCATTAGGGTTTAGGGCTTGGGTATATGGGCTGCTATGAGGGCTACTACAAGGGATGGCTATAAGGCCACTGCTGAGGGGTCAGGTTAGGAGATGGGCCTGGGTGAAATTCAGGACCTCGCGATGTTGGGTTTGGATACTGCCCGACCCCAAAGCAGCCTCATCCCGTCTTCCGACTGACTGGGTTCATTTTGCGCCATAACCCAGAACACTCTATGCAGCTGAAACAGAATAGGGTGTTGGTGTATGTTATAGTAGAGTATAGCTATACAAGGAATACAAGGGGACGTTATCGCCTAATTATTCCGACCGCCGCACTACAACCCGAAAGCCTAAACCCGTAAACCCCATTAATCCTAAACCCCCACAGCAACGAACCCTAATTCTCCTAAGCCCTACAAAACCCAGACCCCTAAAGCCTAAACCCCTCAACCCGATCCACTCTAACTCTAAACCCTACAAACACTAAACCCCAAAGCCCAAAGCCCTAAACTCTATAAAGCCCTAAACCCTATAAACCCCAAACCCCTAAAGCCCTAAACCTCCCAGAGACTCCAATACCCCTTCATTAAGGAATATACCTTAAATTACAGTAGGATCCCTAATATGATTTAAGGTATATTCCTTAATCCCTGGGGCTCCAAATAGCCCAATGTAGGTACTATTTACCGACTTTAGAACCAAAAGTAGGTACTATTTGATCACTTGGAGCCCTAGGGCTATACAATTTCTTCTATAAGCACCAAACCTATAGGCCCTAAACCCCAAACCAGTACCTTATTCCTTAATTACGGGGTATTGGAGTCTATGGGCTCTCTGGCTTTAGGCAGAAGCCATCGCCTGCTGGCAGCCTCGGACTGGGGCCTCTCCTCCTGCAGGGCTGGCTTGGGGGTTAAGGAGTTTAGGGGATGGGGTTTAGGGTTTAGGGTTTAGGGTTTAGGGTTTAGGGTTTAGGGCTTAGGGTTTAGATTGTTTTAATGAGGCCCTGTTTCCGACAGCAAGTCTGGATTACCGACGAAAGTTCTGAGACCAGGGGAAGGGAACTATCCACTCGGTCGGCCAACAGCAAACAGCCCAAGAGCCCTTACCAGCTCACCAGGCTCAGCAAACCTCTTGACCCCGACTCACTCAGGTACATCACAGGGTTTTGGGTTTTGGGGGATTTAGGGTTTAGGGGAATTGGGGCTTAGGGTTAAGTTAAGGATTTAGGGGGTTTTGGGGGGTGGTTCTCTGGATATAACAGCCGAGCGGTGGAAGGTCGAGTCTAGAAACCCTAAACCCTAAACCCTAAACCGTGGAGTTTAGGGTTTAGGGTTTAGTTACACGTTGTCTTCAGTATATTGGCACCCAAATCGAATGTTACCCTAAACCCTAAAAACCCTAAAGCCCTAAACAGATCTTGCCTCTCCCAGGGGCAGCGCCGACAGTGTCATCCGATTTCGCTCCGGGTTGACCTGCACGATGCGCACCTGTCGAAAGTGTCACGAATCTGGGCTGGACTATAGCTGCATCGCATCCGCTGAAATTGGAGGTGAGCTGGTACTCCCGTTCAGAAGCCCGTGTGAGGACGACAACCGATGGCTTTAGAGGTGTTGAAAGATCATGATGCTGCCGTGCTCGAATGCTCTGACGATGGACCGACAGATCCCTTTTCGGTCTCATTGCTCCGCCGTCTTAAACACAAACATGCAAACACACACACACACACACACCTAGATCTATATATATATATATGTAGACATACATACATACATACATACATACATACATACATACACAGACTCAATCAAAGACAACCTTAAACAACGTGGCCAATGAAACAGACACCCAAACCTTGAATCGTAATGTCTAGAGCCCAACGATTGAACCCAAAGACCTGCAACATGAATCGAAACCAGAGCTGCGATACACGTACAAGTATATACAGCTTTCCACAAAACTAACATACAAGGATACATGAATGAACATCAAGGCTGCAAGGCTTACCTGATACTCTTCTCTATCCTACGCCCTAAACCCCCAGATCCTGTAACAAACTTCTAAGCCCTGTAAACCATCGAAACCCTCCAAACCCTCTACGCCCACTAAACCCGCTGACTCTGAACCCTCTGGGCCCTAAGCCCCAAACTTCGCTTCATCGTTGCAACCGGGGCGCTCGAATCTCCTTGCCGAGCTGCTCGCGGACCTAAGGGCTGCTTGTCTGTACGGCAGAGGGCTACAGGCACATGAAGCACCGAGTGGCTCAAACGAAAAAGCAACTCTAACTCTCTGTCTCTCTCTCTCTCTCACCCCTGGTTTAGGTATGCCTGCATCAACGAACCTAGGCATGTATGCATGCATGCACTTTTGTATGTATGTGTGTGTGTGTTGTGTTGGGTTGTGTTGTGTTGCGGTATGTTCGGCAATGGCATGTTGTAATTGTAAATGTATGCCTAGTTGCGTTGCATTGTGTTGTGTTCTGCCGTTACTGCAACTGGAAATGTAATGTGATGTAATGTCAAGGAGGCATGTACGTACGCGCATGTACTTAGGTAGGTAGGCACGTAGGGCAGTCGGTCGGTGGGTAGGTAGGTAGGTAGGCAGGTAGGTACGTAGGCAGGTAGGTAGGTTGGTAGGTATGCATGTACGCGTGTGCACATTATAGAGATGGAGGGATAAGCAACAGGCATATGCACGCAGCAAAGATCAAGAAGTCTTCCTGCCCCTCCCTCCCTAAACCCTAACCCCCTCCCGAAGGTCTACCTCCGGGCCCCTGCCTTCACCCCTCTGCTGCACCTGGATGCTGCGCTTGGTGGCTGCGTGCTGCGGGCCGCCGGAGCCGCAGCGGCATGGGCCACTGGTATCAACAGCATGCTACGGCGAAGCCGCTAAGCTACCAGAGTTTCTGGTAGAACTCATCATGGTACATACGTACGGTAGACGCGGCTTGGGGCAGATAGCGTGAGTAGAGAAGCAGTCTAATTCACATGCCCTGTTGAGACCTGCTGTGCTTGCCACGAGACCTTTCGATGCGGGAGCTGAGCAACATAACTTAAGCGACCCAAACGACAAAATCCGATTCGCCAAGTGAAAGTCGAAAACACGAAGCGACGATATTCCAGCATTTGCAGGCTGAACTTCTGGTCGGCCCTGCCATGATCGCGGCAGCCCTCCACGGTGGTTGCTGGGTGCAGCGCTCACGGCTGGATCGTCACCTTTTTGTCTGAGTGTCTTCGGCTTGTGTTTGGTTCAGGAGCAAATCTGGGAGAAGGGCACGGAATTCTTGCAGGTTGGGTTGCTGAGTAGCCCTGAACTGTCCAGGTGCAAGCCTTGCCCTTTCTCACTGTGATGCTGCTTCATGCTGGCAGCTCGGCATCTGCTCCAGCTTCTGGGGGTAGGAAGGCAGAGAGAGAGAGGCTGGGTTGTAGTCAGTCTGCGCGTAGTTTCGAACTGAGACGCCCAAGGTTGGGAAGCGTGGGGCGGGGGGGGGGGATAGTTTAATGAACTGTGCCAATAGGCCTCCGAAAGAAGCAGGGAGAGAGCTGAAGAAGGGAGGAGGCGGGGAAAGAGTCCTCACCCGTTACGTCCTTCGATTGAGCATGTAAACGATGACAATCCTAGTGACCTGGTGCTCACCCAACTAGTGAACTTGGCGGCGTGCTCTCGCGCAGGGGAGTTGGCAAGAATCCACAAGGCGGCTTGCAGCAAGAATGACAGAACTTCTATATAGAGATGGAGAGAAACTCGAGGGTGCCTTTGGTGGGCAGGAGGACCGGTGCAATGGGCAACGAGCAGGTTGTTCCCGCTGGCCAACTTATCTCGCATGAAACGCCATCCTTCCGTTCAGCAGAGTCGGTCTGGACTTGAACAACGAGACGCACAACGAAAGGAGAAAAGGACAGAAGATGACAGAAACAAATCAAGACAAGAAAGGCAGAAGGAGAAACATGCCAGTCGAGAAAGCAAGCCAGAAATTGGTTCGCGTAGCGGTAGGTGTACAGGTCGTGTCGCTGCCTACCTGCGGACGTTGTTGGGACTTCGACACGTTCGTTTCTCGCTTGGGCTGAAGGGGTAGTACCACCAAACACCATACCGACACAGCGTGGCCAGGAGGTCACTCGCATGCATGCCTCAATTGCGACAGGCACAAGTAGAGCACATGGCTCGACCCATTTGAGAACAGACTTATGTTGAAGTCGAATGATGGTTTCGCAACGGGACATGTGGGCATTCTGCAGCGAGCTGCGGGGAAACATGTGCTTGCTGGTTATTTTGGCGTCGCACATGTCCACAAGCCATGCCGGACAAAGATTATGAGGAGAGCCCGTTTGCTTCGGTATGGTATGTAATTTGTCGAAGCCCCCCTCACTAATGGCCTTTGGAGGTTCATGCTCGTAAATAGTTGGACAGTGGACAAACAACTTATTCAGTCGCTGGGTTGGGGGTGGTAGAAGCCCAGCGTCATGCATGCTAATGACTCATACTAGTTATTCTAAGTAGAGGGCTTTACAGGCATTGGTGCCTCGATGGAGGGCGGCTTCGCCATCGCTTTGGTGGCTTTGGCTACCTGGGTAGCGCTGCTCCCCGGAGCGTTTTGGGAGGCCATATTCCACAGGGGCCTGCGAGCATTTGGGGTATTTGGCGGTGAAGGTGCCAACGACAGATTAGTTCAGTGCTTCAGCATGCCTGAGTGCAAGCTGCTCGCATGCGCCATTGCTTTCGGACCAGTAATACAGATCGGTTTTTGCTGTGCGGTTCGAGGGCGGACAGACTGCATCTGCTGCGAGGCTCTTGGCCTCGCCGTGCGAGGTGGAGGAGTTGCAAGCCGGAGGGCACCCCATGGAATGACAAGAGCCTCCCAGCAAGTTGTCTTCAGCTGGAGTGGCGAGAGTGTCAACCTGTTGAGTTTAAAGGGCAGCGATCGAAAGCGATTTGAAGGACGCCGCCTGGATGCGCCGGCATGTGGTTGGGCTGCTTGCCAGTTTTAACACCGCAAGCCTTCGGCGGGTAGGTTGGCAAAAGGGCAAGCTCTGACGACCAAGCCGTTGCCGGACCGCATTCACGGGTGTTGTGCAAGGGTGCTTTGCTTTGGGGCAACCTGGGTTCTTTTTCACGACCTTATTGCACGTTCCGCGCCCTGGATCGCGAGGCAAAGCTGTATTTGCCCAGCAGCCTAGCCGGTCTAAACTCCAAACACGTCCTTTCCCCTGAACCCCTTAAACTCCTGTGCAGCATCACAGCTATAGAGTTTTGTCGCAGTAGCATAATTGGAATACAATCCTGTTTGGGTGACTAGTCGTATAGTAGTAATGTAACCATGCTACAGTAGTAGCATCATAGTCATACCACAGTAACACACGTGTACATGACGAAATACACTGGCAATGTACTTGCAGCGGAGTAGTTATATCACAAAATCATCGTCACCTCGCAGCCTCGGCAGAGCGCGAGGGGAAAATCATAGTGTTGCAGTAGATCTGTAGAAGTACTATCGTAGTACTGTAACATCATCATATCAGTCATAGCCGCACAGGAATAGCAGTCTCTCTTCTCAGGCGGCCTCGATTTTCCTCGCTGCCTGCCTGGCCTTCGGCCTCAGCGGCATGGAGAGCCGCCCAGGCTCGGAGGAGTCGCGAAAGGAACTCCATGCCAAGCGCTGGGATGAAGGTTCAAGGTACAGGGCTTAAGGTTTAGGGCTGGGGTTTCTGGCTCAAGGAAATCGGGGCCTAATTTGATGATGGCTTTTGATGACTTCTGTTCTTGTCAGGAAGAGGCCTCGAATGACAAGAATTCTGAATGCTCAAGGATATTCATGAAACCGAAACCGAAGCCGAAACTCCGGGGTCTATGTGGCTTTGACCATCTCCATGCAAGGCCCAACCCGGCTCGAGCATGCAAGGTGGGGACAGAAGGCGCTTCGCAAATCCAGTCGGACACCACAGGAATGAAGAGATCCCACGAAGCAATGGTCGGCGAGGAGGACGCTGACGAAGCCCTTCGCACCGAGCCTCCTTCGGAGGCTGGGTGTACCGCCTTTGGGAGTCCCTTTTTCATCAGCCAATTTTTTTTCCCCAAACAAGAGGCTTCCCGTAGTCCGGCCCCTGCAAGATAAGAAGCAACCAACAATACTTGGAAGGTGACCTTTGTGGTCCTCGGCCCCAGTGGTCAGGAGATCGGCCGTTTCAGGCTGCCTCGACAGGCCCAAGCACTGGAGCTCAAGCAGGCAGTGGAGGACCGCACGTCGATACCGATGGGAGCCGTAAGTGCCTGTGAAAAGGTAAGGGTGCTCTCGGCCATCACAAGTAGAATCAGAAGGAGTTTCGGGTATATTCTACTCTGACACTGACTATATAGGGACTGTATTGGAATAGTAGCTATTGTACGTACAAATTCCTATATTACTGGAGTTGCACTTTGAGTCCGCCTAAGAGTCACTGGAGGTCAAACACCATCATGATTAGTTGTAGCAGTGCGCGATCAGCAAGCAGTTAGGCCAGTTGAAAGGCGAAAGGACGAGTAATACAAGCAAAGCCAGTACTAGAAAGAAGGATAACGATGGTAACTGCTGCTGCTATTGCCAATAGGAGACAGCAGACATGCAGGCCGAGTGTGAACTGTTTTCACGCCTTTCAGGTTCGAGTTTGGGGTAGAGCCTCTCCAGTTACAGTATCCCTTTACAGTACGCCTTGCAGTAACCCTTGTAGGAACCATGGTAGAATCCTTATAGTAACCTTCCGCGATGAACAGCACCAGAGATCCTTGGAGGAATCTGCTGGCTTGCCCCGCGAGACTCAGCAGGTTCTCATCGGGCACCGCCGTGTGGAAGACGAGGAAATGTTGCTGGCAGGCGGGCATCTGCCAAACAGCGCAGGTTTGATTCATATTCCGATTGGGACCTTTCTGAGTGAGTAGCATGCCTACTTGGAGGTTCATGGGTAGTTATAAGTGCGGTTGCAATTAGGGTAACTATAGTTATAACCCAGATTAAGGGACTTATAACCCTATTTATAACTACCCATGAACCTCCAAGTAGTGCCCCCATTCTCTCAACATCCAGGTGGTGATACTCCAGATTTGGCAGAGGTCGAGGCGACGCTGTTGGTTCAGCTACCCGTCCCGAGGACACGTCTTGAAGTTCAGTGGGAGCAACTGCCAGAGACCGACGGCTACCTTGAGGAGCTTCGAGTCTTAAACCCGGCTCGTAAGGGGTTCAGGGGATGGCCGCCGAAGGAAGTCCTCGTCCCCACCGCTAGGATGGGCTGCGTTGGTATCGACCCGGAGAGTGGCCTTCTCGTTCTGGTGGGAGGAGGCCTTCCTGAACACTTCGGGCGCCGTAATGGCAAGATTTTACAGGGCATGTACGACTCCGGTGAAGGCTCTGATAGCTTCCATGCCTCAGAGCTGGAGGATGCTGACGGCGAGAAAGGGCCGTCGGGCCCAACGGTGGAATACCTGCCCTTCTCTTGGAAGCCTTGCTATCGGCGGCAGCATCCTGCTCGAAGGGGAGACCATAGCTTCCGGAATTCTGCCAGAAACAGCTTGCTGGTGCTGCCAGCAGACAGCCCAGCCTTCTCTCTTCCTCTTGATGGGCACGACCCACTTGTGACAGCAGTGGAAATGCATGCCATGTCGTCCCTGCAGGGATATCCTTTTCCTTCTGTTGGACTAGCAGTCGCTCTTGCCACTGGAAGCCGCCGAAAGTTTGCGGGTCCACTGCAGCTAATTGCGTGCGAGCTGAGCCCCGTGGCTGCAAGGACCATCTGCTTGACGCCTGCAGATGCTGACTGCCAGGCCGTCTGCCTGGACCGTGCCAAAGAGGTGGCCATCTCGGCTGAAGTGCACTCCGATGGCAGTTACATTGGTTTCTACCGCCTCAGGCCCTGCCAGGCCTCGAGTGCAGAAAGGCTTCGTGCCGAAGTGGGATCCTGCGGCAGGAGGGCCACGAGCATAGCATGGTCTGAACCCGCCGCCGCGGTTCTTCTCACCTTTGCAGGGGAGCATGCCATCTACGTGTACCAACGAGTGGGCGCTGCATGGCAGCCTGTGCAGACTTTGGGCGCCGCTTCGAGTCGGGGCTGTCAGGATGGCCCGGCTTCGGATTTGCGATTTTGGTTTCCATGCGGAGACTGCCGGCTTCTGCAAGGCCCATATGGTTCCTTGATGAAGGACTCCTTTCCCCTGGTGCCGGGCCCGGGTGGAGCAATTTATGTCCACAGCGGGGGTGCTTTGCTCCTTCTGGCTGCAGACCTCACCTCTGCTTCCAAGATCACTTCCATGCGAGAGGAGCTCTGGCTGACAGAGGATGATGAGGGTACGCCTATTTTCCCAACGTGCCAAAATGTATTCGGAGTGCATTCAGGCGGTGTCTACCGCTCTCTTGTAAGAACCAATGATACCGAAGAGGTGCTGATACGCAGGCTCCAGATCTCTGCAGAGCTGCGACGGCCTCGAAGCGGCATCCGCGCGACGGCTCCCAAACTCTGGCCAAACATTGGAGAACGACGGGTTTATCATGCCGAGTTGGATCCCGGCCCACAGATTGCGCCAACCTATTATCATGACTCACATCGAGACAAGTGGGATGGTAACGCCATGTGGCTTTCCGATGACTGGTTGTGGGAAGCGTGTCCTCAGGAGAAGCCGGAGGATCTGCGTGTGTCAATGCTTGGCATGTGGACCACCTTTGCCAGGTGGCGCAGAACATCCTCTCAGAATCTATGTGGTGAGAGCAGCGACATTCAACTCAGGGTCTCTTACGTCGACGAGTGCAAGCCCGTGCTGCCTTGGAAGAAGTAGGACTTCGAGCTGCGAACTGCTTCACTACTGGCCGTCACGCTGCTTTGTGCTTGTCCTGCTGAAGGTGGAACGGCTCTGCAACGCATGTCAGCCAGCATCTGTTGCCAACTGCGGCTTCGTGCAACATGGCTGTTGGCGATGCCTCGAGCCTGGCTGTGTGTCTGAAATCTGGCTTCGAGCTTCTGGGCTGTCTTTCCCAAACTAGAAGTGCCGGGGGTTGCATGAGCACCCAACACTCAGAAGAGACATCGGTTAGTCGCGAAAGCTCTCGGCAATGAAAACAGTGCTGCAACTCGGCGCAAAAGGCCCGAGGTGTCGCCTCAAGCCAGTGCAGCTCGAAGGTCCTAGTCGAAGTATAACAGTAGACATAACTCGGACTGCTCCGTCGCATTTTTTCTTAGGCTTGGTGCAGCTGTTGCTACTGCGGGTGCAACGGCTGTTGCTGTTATTATGATGCGAATCCTTTGCCCGTACGCATGTGAATATCGCCGGTGCAAAAATTGCGTTTCTTGCTTAGGCCAGCCCTACCTAGCAAAGTTGCTATTGGCAGCTACTAGTTATTGTTTATTACCAGATTTTCATGCCCAGCCTCGAGCGACATTTCGATTAATTTCGAGTGTGATGACGATTAGATTAGTGTTCTGATGAATCAGAACTTGCTAGGTATTTTCATTTTCAGTATCAGTGTTGTTTCCCCTGTGCTAGAATCGGTCTTGCGATTGCTAGGTTTATTGATCTTATGTTCTGTTTATATCCGCCGAACTATCTCTGTCACCATTGTAGCTGTACTCACATTGTTATTATTAATTACTAATTACTATTGGATCCAGAGAGGATCAGTCGGCCAGAAGTTAAGGGTAAGAGTATCGGTGCAGCTCACATATGTTTGGTTTGTGTCAAGGTATTGTTGGGGTTACTCTTGTGGTTCTTTATCACGGTTATGGCGATGATTGACGTGACAGCTGAACTTCCGGTGTTCCCACAAATCCAGCCAGCAAGTTTGTGTCGTACATGCTTGGAAAGGTCCGGTCCCAACGGTGCTGCTTCTGAACCGCTGGCGCGTGAGCCTTGACTGCCAGAACTACAGCTTAGGGTTCAGGGTGTAGCCCTAAACCAACGAATTTAAGCGCGAGAACTCGTTGGATAAGCGCGAAAATTCGTTGGATAGTTCACTT